GCCCGCTCCCCCCCGGCCAGCCACTGGTGACACTCATCTGTGGGGCCACCGGCAGGGTGCCCGCTGGAGGGCCTCAGCAAACCGGGGCGGTCCCCTTCCCACCCCCTCACGGGCTCCCAGGCACACCCCGTGTGGGACATCCCCTGCACCGGCGCAGCGTCAGGCTCCAGCCCGGCTGGGGAGAGCCGGGAGCAGCCGCACTGGGGCTCGGGGCTGCCCCCGCACCCCTGCGGTGGTGGGACCATGCTCAGGGCTCTCCTGAGCACAGGAGGAGAGTGCGGACACCTCCCGCAGCCCTCCTGGTGAAGGCAGGACCGCGCTGCCTGTGCCTGCCTTGTGAAGCTCCCGGCACCTCCTCTCCCGGCCCCAGACGCCAACCCCATTGCTGAGCTCTCCACCCCAGTGCGACCATCCCCGGGGCAGGGCGAGGGCTGGGGCGGGTGGTGGGTGCCCACGGCTGTGCCTCTCCTCTAATCTGCTGCTGACATCTCTGCCCGGTGCCCTGTCCCAGACTTGAGCCCATCACCACGATGTCTGAGACCACGAAACCCGCTGCTCCTGGCCAGGCTATGGAGGAGAAGGAGAAGGCGGCCCCAGCGCCAACTCCATCCCTCGACCCTGCTCCCGTCGCAAACAGCAAGGGCGAGGAGCCCTCCACAGAAGCCTTCAGGGTAAGCCCCGCGGCTCCCCATGCCTAGGGACACGGTCCGGGGCTGAGGGGCAGTGGCAGCATCTCTGGGGCAGTTGACAAGAGGAGATTGCACGTGTCCCAGGGGGAAGGACCCTCCTCCGAGAACCGGAGAGCGCAGACGATGCCATCCCTCCCCGCTGTGCCTCTCCTGGGCAGCATCTCTCTCTCTGCAGGATTTGGGCAGCCACTTGCGGGCCGCTGCAGGAGGGGTGCCCTGGGTGCCCCTTGGCTGGGACAGCTTGTTGGGGACCACAGGCTTTGGAAATGCTCTCTCCGGGTCATGGCATCAGGGCTGGGTGCCCCCTGCTCCCTCTGGGCGCCCTCTGCATGCGGGGCTCCTGCCGTGCTGCCGGGGGATGGAGGAGAAGGCTGCGGGTGACAGGGCCAGCGCCGCAACACCGCGGTGACACCGGGGCAGCGTACCACTGAGGTGCTGCAGCGGGGCTGGGGACAAGGGGCGAGCAGTGTGAGGGTTCCGGTGACACTTCTGCACATGCCAGGCACCGAAGGTCACGGCGTGGACGCAGCTCCTGGAAAAGCAGCTCCTTCCCAGCCCGGCTGGGGCCCCACGTGGGCACCGGCACAGGGAGACGTGGCTTTGCAGCACCAAAAGCGGGGGCAGGATGAAGCCGTGTCAGAGCAGGGATGGCTCTCAGGAGGGGACCTTCCTGTGCTCAGCCCTTGCTGGGATGGGGCTGCTCGTGCACAGAGCCCACCTCGGCGTGCTCAGGCACCAGATCTGAAAAGCTGCAGGAAGCCTGGGAGAGCCGAGGGGAGCGCGTGGGGCGGTGCAGGGTCCGTGCAGGGACACGCAGCACCACCCTGCCCTCCCCGAGCACGCCTGTCCCCATCCGACCCTTTCCCTCCGCCCCCAGATCATCGTCTTTGAGCAGGAGAACTTCCAGGGCAGGCAGATGGAGTTCACCACCGAGTGCCTGAACCTGGGGGACCGTGGCTTTGACCGGGTGCGCAGTGTCATCGTCACCTCTGGACCGTAAGTGAACCCGGCCAAGGAGGGGACCGTGTCCCTGGGGATGCCCCGGGGAGGGGGGGATGTGGTCCTGGAGAGCTGCCCCTGGTGCAGCGTGAAGTGCATTTCCTTGCAGCCCTGGCAGAGAGCGGAGCAGAGCCAGCGTAGGAGCGGAGCTGGGGACCCTGGGTCTCCTTCGAGGAGGGCAGGATGGCCGGGGCTGGTGGGAAGGACGCCAGGGCCGGTGGGAAGGATGCCAGGGCCATTTGTAAAGCACAGGGCGCTAGAGGCAAAGCGGAAGGCTGAGGAAAGGTGTCCATCAGATGAGCTGCCTGAAGCTCTCCATGAAATGGAGGAGACCTGTAGATTTGAGAAAAGCCAAAGTGAAACGAGGCAAGTGCCTTGGACCGGGCTGGTGGCCCGGGGCCACCGCAGAGACGAGGCTGGAGACGAGCAGCGATAAGGGGACTGGGAAAGGAAGAAAGCCATGGGAACAGCCGGCACAGGCGGGGACAAAAATGATCGCCAAACCAGATGGCAACTGCAGAGACAGATGATGTTCATATCGGA